TTTACAATTTGAACTACTTACATTATTTGCTCATTCGCTCATAAATTAAAATGGATTATCTTCTTGAAAAAAAGTACAAAGTTTTATGCCTTAAATTTATTATATGTAGAAATTAAAGATAAGTTATACATATAAATGATAACGCACAAACAAATAAAATTTCTGTAATTTTTAAATAGTGAAGTGTGATATTCTTTTTGGGACGAAAGAAATATATGATGAATTGTATGGAATAACTAGATTTTATCCTAATTTCATCTCATTACAATAAATTTTATTGATTTGAGAGTTAATTTGACTAGTTTCAAACCAATTCATTCAATATTAGTCAATAAAATTAGATGCTAGTGTTAGCATTTTGAAAAGACTCTCTAGCGGCAGCCTTTACTGTTATCATTTTCAAATTTGATCTACACCATTACATTTAGGTGTAAAATTAATTATATTTGACTCTATTAAATTTAATTTTCTCTATTTTCAACCAAATATACTCAAAAATTTACAAATTTTGCACTCAATTGAATAAAATTCACTTAATTTCACCCAATTTTACTCAATTTTTACCAAACTGTATTCAAATGGAACATAAGACTATTTGAATTTATCTTTTATCTTTTCATTTATATAAATGAGTATATTAGTATATGTGAGAAAAATTTTATATTTCAAAACTAAATTTTAAAATCAATTTAATTATATTAAATTTATATCATAATTAAATATATATCTTTTCATAATTTGTAGTCCAAATTTGTAAAATATGACTAAAAAGTCAAAAAGGGAAGATTATTTAGGGTAGAGATAATATAACTAGAAAAAACTATAAAATAATATAAGGTATTGAATTGATGATAGATTGATAAATGTGATAAAACATAAAAAGAAACACGGATAGTTAAATTTTAATTAGAAAATAATATATATCCAAAATATATTTGATCCGAAACCGAAATATATCCGAACCGAACTAGACCCGAAACCGAAATATATCCGACTCAAATTGTATCCGAACCGAAATCTATCCGAACCGATTTATAACCGAACCGTATCTGAACCGACTCGAAACCGAACCGAACCGAAAAATGTATAGAACCGAAATCAAATCCGAACCGAAATTTAACCGATCCGAACCGATTATAACATATAACCGAAAGATATCCGAACCGAAAAAATCCAACCCGAAACAGATCCGGTTGATCCGATTGCCACCTCTAATAACATGTACTTCCTCCGTTCTCAAAAATACTTTCTTTTTCATTTTTTCTACTTCGAACAAAATACTTCTACTTTCTATTAAAAAATCATTTTTACCCTTACTTTTTTATGTCCTACCTAACATCATACTTTTTTATAATAATATATCCATCACATCTTACTTTTACCCATCACATTAGGAACAAAATTGGAAGTCAACTTCAATTTAACATTTCCTTATTTCTACACTTGGCCAAAACATGAACTCTTTTTAAGAACGGAGAATAGTAAATTAAATTTACTAACACATGTTATAAGAATAGCTGTACTAAGTACTAACACTTGTTAACGCAAAAAAGAGCTAGTATTGCTATGAATACGATGTGGGATGGAATCGCAGTATCGCACATTCGCACGTTATATCCTTTCTTCGAGAAATTAATGTGGCTATTGTTAATGCTTTTTAGGATATGAAAGGAAGATGTTTTATTAAACAAATTACTCCGTATTACTCCCTCCGTTATAAATTATAATGCATGTTCACTATTCACATGGTCAAATTTTCATTCATTTTTTTTCTCTATTCTCGTTAGCAAATTGATAAAATAAAATATTGTTGTCACTACTAGTTTTGTAGATCTTTTGATGTAATATTTTGATATGTAATTTTTATTTTTAATTCTATACCATTTGTCATATAAAATGATTTGAAAATAACTTCAGTCAAACATCGTAAACTGAAACAGGCGTTATAAAATGGGACGAATGGAGTAAAAGAAGTGATGGGACCTTGTGAAAGAGAAAATTTGTGATAATTGAGAGTGTGTTTGGTTAAAGGGAAATATTTTCTAGAGAAAAATGATTTCCATGAAAATTTATTTTCTAATCTTATTTTCCGTTCTTTAGTAGGCAAAAAATATTTTCTTAAAAATATTAGTTTCTTTTATACTATAGTAACTTAAATTATACTCTATGGAGCATTTTGCAAATTATTTTTTGGAATACTTCATCTGACTACGGTGCCCCATTTGTAAAAATGACGGTTCCTACGCCCCCCTAACCCTCCTCCTAAACCCCCTACCCCAGTCCCACCCTTGCCCCCCACCCTGCCTCCCCTCCCACCCCCCTCCCTACCCTGGTAGTATACTGCTTGCAGTATTACTGCCAGGGTAGGGAGGGGGTGGGGCTGGGTGGGGGGAAAGGGTGGGCTGGGGTGGGGGTATGAACCGTCATTTTTACAAACGGGGCACCATATATAGGTACCCAAACGAACTGGTGTAAACAAATGATACTAGTGCGGTCATTTTAGATTTACTCTATATATAATGGACTTTGAGATATATCAATATTCAATAGTATACTTTAAAGAGAAAATGGTTTTTGTCATTAAAAGGAAGCTTAGCTAAAGTTTTGATCTCATTCCACCACGTCTGCCCTTCATTATTTGGGATGTAAGCACGCAATAGCTACAAAAACAAATCATTTTTTTTTGCCGATTTGTTTTCGCAAAGGAACAAAGGGTCTCATTATCAATCACACACACACATACTATATAGAACCTTTACAAAAATTAAAAACTATTATCACGGTCCCAAAATATTTGTCCACTTTGATTTTTTTTAGTCAAAACTAAACGAAACTTTTAGTCTCAATTAAATAAAAATGATAATGTTTTTTGGTGCAAAAATTATTTCAAACAAATTTATATTGTTGAGAACTATTAAATATTTAATTTGTTGTATCGATATGCAATACAAATTCAGAATAATTAACAAGATTGATTATCTTTCATTATTAGAAGAGTCGCCCGAAAGCTGTTTCCCAAACACAACCACAGTCGATCACCACCGGCCAAAAAAACTTTAGCACAAAGGTTGAGAAGGTACAAAAACAAAAGGCTTGAGAACAAAAACAAAAAAGAGTATATATAACCCCACTCCCACCCTGTCCTCATGCACATCCATCATGTCTCAATGCATGCCACTTCCATTCAGCTAGCTAGCCTTGCATCATCCTAATAACAATGAATTTGTTGCCATATATATATGCAACTTTAGTTGTAGGGACACAACCTCAAACCCACGCCTCCCCTCAACCCTCTTTTATGCTCTACAAACATTGCATCTTTATCACGTTATTACGAGGAAAATCCACTGTCCCGCCCTCCATCGTTTATTGTCTACTACTACTATTATTATTATTATTATTATTATTATTATTATTATTATTATTATTATTATTATTATTATTATTATTATTATTATTATTATTATTATTAATGAATCCGGCCGTGCGTTTTTTATATACATAACCCGGCCAGCCCGGAGAAACTACTAAGATACGTTAAGCTAAAGATATCCTCTCGATCTAACATATTATAGTGATGCATGTGTTACTAAAAATGAGACGCTTTGGACACCACGGGAGGGTTTGATGATAGTAAAAGTTGGGAGATTTGGAGAAAGAAAGAGGTAGATTATTAGTACACAATATTCAAAAAGAGTTCCTACTTTGACAAAGTGTAAAAATAAGAAAGTGTTAATTTGTATTTGACTTTCAATTTTGTTCTTGATGTGATGGGTAAAAGTAAGATGTGATGGATGGATAACTAGAAAAAATATGATGTCATAGGTAGGGTATGAAAAAGTAAGGGTAAAAGTGATTTTTTAATAAAAAGTGGAAGTGTTTGTTTAAAAGTGAAAAAAATGAAAGATAGAGTGTTTTTGAGAACGGAGAGAGTATGTCATACATGCCCTCATTAATAACAAGTACTCCGTATTGTATAATAACTGATTATACAAATGACTAGTTATACAAATGTGGTTATTAGTAACAAATTTTGGATAATGATTGATTATTTCAATAAATATTCAAATTGTATTGAATAATGTTTTATGCTATTTGAAGTGTGTAATATGTCATTCTTCTCAAAGTCAAGGCATTTTAGAACTTTTCATTGACAAACGTTAAAGACAGGGATGTCATGGGCTCATGGCAATCAACCATCGAAGGTTCGGTGTTTGTCATACAAAACAGGCTAGGGTTTTTAGATATTTTTCTCCAGTACCATGATATAATTTGTTAATAATTTATCTTATTGAATAATGAATGTTCCAACCCTATATATAGGAAATAGAAGTGAGAATTTTAATCATAGTGGATTAATAATTTTAGAAGTAATAGAATTAGAAAAGAAATAAATAATAATATCTTGTTTTCTATTAGAAACAAAAAATTACTCTGTCACTACAAAAAAAGGAGGCAATACCGACAGGGGCCAATATGTCGCTAAAGGTTAAATATCTGTCGCTACTCACTTTTACCGACAGATAATTGTTTGTCGCTGCGTTGTCGCTAAAAACTTCGTCAGTAAAAGTATTACCGACAGATAAAATATACTGTCACTAAAATAGTGTAATAGCGACAGATCAAAGATGTCGCTAAAAAAAGAGAGAAGTACCGACAAAACATATATGTCGCTAATACATGGATTACCGACAAAAAATAGTGTGGGTAAATCCTTCTTTTCTGTCGGTAATACTTTATTTTTACCGACATTACCATTTATTATAACTGTCGTTAAAAATTGAAATACCCAAAAAAATTTGGATGAGTAAAACATTTTTCTGTCGGTAATAGTTTATTTTGACCAACATTAATATTTATTATAACTATTACTAATATCATATTTCACACCAATATGCTCAATTTAAATGATATCAAAGAATTTCATTGATAAATAAAAAATAATACTCATACTTGTATAAACATCAATACATAATACAATAACATTTCAAAGATTAACAACGTAACTAACCCATTTACTAGAAAGTAAACCAACATCTCAAAATTAGTTCATCATTTGCGTGCGTTTCAAGCTAAAGTATAAACAATCAAAGTTAACTAAATGTATATACGCATTGATATGAAAGATATAGCCCAAAGCTTTAATGCTCATCACTGTCTACATCTTGAAGTCCATCGCTCTCAGCTTCATCATCTTTGTTCTGTCGATCCTCATCGTGACTTTTCTTAGTGGTTGTATTACCATCAATTGTAAGGTCATCGATTTTAGATTGATTAGCCATTGAATCCTATGCAAAAAAAATATAAGCACATGATAATGTAATTACAAATTTTGCACCAAATTTACCCATGCTAGGTGGCATAACTTTAAACTATATAGTGAACTAAACAAAAATCAAATGACTTTTTAATGAATTATTAATTTCCACACCTGGGAAAGAAGATCTAGAAGAAAAGCCTTCAGATCTGCGATACATAAGTTATGTAATAGGCATTGTTTCTCTTCCACATCCCAGAAATGCTGACACAAAACTTGGAGTCTCAAGTATGACGAATGATTCAAGGGCTTCATGTTAGTGTTCTTCAAAGTTCTTTCCATATCTTCCTTGATATAACCTATAGTACCATGTTGAAATAAGATGCTTAAAGACATGTACTGATAGAAATCTGCAATTTTTAGCTTTTAAATATACCAAAAAGCGGTCATCTTCGGGTGAGGACTTGGTTGCTGCCGAAACTTTTGGTAGAAGATCTGGGAGTTTGTCATTAAAACCATGCACTTTCAACTCCAACTTGTCACTATACAAGGAAACAGATGTTTCCAACTTTGCCACACTAGCCTGCAATATAATATATGAACATATAAAATCATAAATGACACTATATCCCTGCTATTATCAGTAGACTCCAAAGCTTAAGGTTTAATACTATCTGATTGAAGGTGAAAGGCATGCAACTAACCTTATAGATAATCTCATTCAGTTTGTCTTTTAGAAGGAGGACAAACAATTCAGTCAGTAGAGTACATTTCAAATTACTGTAAGCTCCTTTAAGTGTAATGCAGAAGTATTAGTACGGGGAATCTTAAAACTACTGTCCAGCTTGTACCAAAATTTCATCAAGGGTGCATCAAGAATGCACTTGGGAGCAGATACATTCCATCCATCACACGATGTTACGTCAGCACGAATTGAAAAATCAGATGCCATAAATTCATTCTTATAAGGTAAATGTAATGACTCATAAATCTCTGGAGGATCCTTCCATAATTCCAACAGAGAGAGTGAGATATCTTCTTCAATATACCGTGATCCAAACCATGGTTCATGTTGAATATCTGAAACAAAGACATCATAATCTAGAAAGAGAGCCCATTTAAATTTCAATAAATAAGTGATACTATTACTATTAATATCACTATTATTATTGTTGTTTTTAGTAATTAATCATGGTTTCTTACTAGTAGTCGTATTCTATTTTGCTTAGTATTCTTAATAGCAACAGTACTAGT